GTGCAGTTTCTGCCCTGCATGCACCTCAGGAGGGCATGGGGGCCTTGTGCCCCCAGATCTGCACAGGGCAGGGCTTCCTAGCAGGGGCTGGGCCAGGCTGCAGCCACCTCAAAATTCACTGTAGCCCTCCCATAGCCCCCTCCCAATGCCACTGCCACATACCCCAAGCACAGCCCCTGGGCCCCTCCCCCATATCCTCCAGATGAGCCACTCACAGCTCTGTCCCAGCCCCACTCCCTCCCTCCCGGTCCTTGATCTCCCCCACGCCCCTTCCCCCACACCAGACTTACCAGCCAGATGCTGGTCTCCAAGCTGCCAGGCTGTACTCCTGGCCCCGTCCACATTGTGGCTGTGTGCATGCACGGGGCATTTATTGGCCACGTTATCAGCCACATCAGGCAAAAAGCCGATTTCCAATGTTTTCAATTTTCCCTATATCGGTGCCGATCCGATATAGGACCAATGTATCGGTGCACCTCTAGTAAAAGGAAAAAGGGACTTACTTTCCTGCTACATGAGCATTTTCAACATAGGCAAGTGCTGCTTCTAATCCTTTCAGTTGAGCCACTGCATTGGAGTCTGTCACAAATTTTTTTATCAGACCCAGGTACTTGGACCACTCAGGGCTTTTCTCATCATCTATTTTCTGGAAGAGCTTCAGAGCTTCTTCGTAGCCATTCAGTCTGGCTTTCCACAGCTAGGGAGGAAAAAAAAAAAAGGAAGTCATGCACAGAAGCACACTTAAATATGATATCTTAGTACATTTCCCCCTCCATCTCCCACCCGAAAAACCAAGAGTAAGCCACATTAATTCAAAACAGTAAAAGTTTATTTCTTCTCTACAGATTGAGACATTTACTCTACATCAGTCATCTCAAGATCTCTCTCTGCAAGTTACTGGAAGCTGGATAATAAGACAATACACATCCACTGTTCTCTTGGTAAAGAATGATCACTAAGTGACTGTCAATTCTTTCCATCCCTCCTCACAGGTTTCCAGAAGCAGTTCAATTGTTGATAAGCTGATATAGACACATCTATTATATATGTGGAATATCACAAACCGATCTATTCAGATTAGGCCACCACATAATTTAAATTCTGTTCAAGAAATACCACTTACTGTCTGGTTTCAATTTTCTGTTGAAGTAAAACTGGGGCAGCTTCAAATAAGGACCCACCCAATGCAGGATTATCAGTATTCTACCAGTTTTTTGTGCTATTAGTAAACACAGAAGTAAAAAGGAATCATGCTCACTGAGTAAACAGAACAAGGCAAGAAAAATATCTCCTTCCTACCTTGTGTTCACACTTCTGGTCAATGGGCAGTTTCATCCATTCGCTATCGTCTCCCATTGTGCCTCAGATTCTTGTTATAATTACAATAGTACCTGAAGAAAGAAAAAGAAACAATTCACTGCAAAAAACCCAACAAGTTTTGTAATGTGCTAGTTCTAAATTATTCCTGCAACACAAATATAAAGATGTCCTGTAATTTTTAGCCAATGCAACAATCATCTATCATGCTAGCAGTTACAGATAGCTGCCCACCCTTAGGACAGAAGTAATTTCTTAGCCTTGGAATACTACTGAACAGAGTTAAAGATTATAAACCAGTGGTACTCGACCTTCTGCCCCTGTGGGCTGGAAGAACAGCATGGGGTTGAACTGTGAGCCAGTTTCTGCATGCAAGGTGAGTCTATGGCTGCAATCTGGCCATTCACTGACATGATCCTATGCACTGGTTATACGGCGAACACAGCCACATCATACAGCCCACAGGGCTCCCCACAGGTTCAGAAAGTTGGCAGGGAAACAGCAGTTAATCCAATCACCTTCCCTGCCACCAAGGCTGGGGGGGTGAATCGGGGCAACCGCCCCAGGTCCTGCACTTTCAGGGGCCCCACAGAGCTGAGCAGAGAGGCTGCAGTGACTGTGCTGCTGCCAGCTTCACGTCCAGCCACTCGACATGTTGTCATCGTGTTCCGCCCCCACCATCCTGCCACTGAATCAGGCCACTTGGACCCCACCCTCCCAATTACTGCCAAATCCATTGCAGGCTTCCTTGTGTCCGAGGGCGGGGCCCTGCATAGGCTGATTTGCCCCAGGTCCTGCACCCTGCTCAAGTCATCTCTGCCTGCCACCAAATTACTGGACCTGTGAAGAGACCCACAGACTGGATGATATGACTTCACAGGTTAGAGCAGGGGTGGGCAAGATACGGCTCACAGGCTGAACACAGTCCACCAAGCACTGTGTGTTAAAGAGGTGGATGGGGCTGGCCCTGCATGCTGCCACCACCTGCGGCCGGGGACTGGGGTGGGAGCATGGGGAGCTGCAAGCTATGGGGCCGGGCGGGGCTGACCCCACTTGCTACCACCACATGCATCTCCAGGGACTGGCATACTCCAGGGACTCCAAGGCCCCCTGTTTCCACACACACACCCAACTCCACCCACCACACCCTCCCACAGCCCCCACCTCAACCACATACCCCACACCCAAACCACACCCCCGTACTCCTGTGTGCACACATGATACAAGAGTAAGACTATTTTGAGCTATTATGCAATTGCCTCTAGATACACTCAGCTAAGCAAACACACGTAAAATCATAGAAAGTTAGGGTTGGATGGGACCTCAGGAAGTCATCTCATCCAACCCCCTGCTCAAAGTCCTGAGCAGAGATGACCCAAGCAGGCTGCGGGGCACAGGGCAAATCAGCCTTTGTGGGGCCCCGCCCCTGCGCACCCCAGACGTGAAGAAGCCCACAACCGATTCAGCAGCAGGGGGACAGAGGCTGAACAGCTGGACACAAAGTCACCACACTCCACCCAGCTCCATGGGACCCCAGGCCATTACCGCGATTTGCCCCGCCCCTAAGGACAGCCCTGATCCTGAACAAATCAGGACAGAAGCATTTTTTAAACTAAAATTAAAATAAGTTATAGTAGATGTCTGATTTTTTTTTTAGTAGAGGTGCACCAATAGAGATTTGGGGGGCCGATACCAATGACCAAATTATAACAAGCCATATTGGCTGATACCGATCCAATTTGCAGCCCTGCAACGTGGAGAGCAGAGTCTGGCTAGTAAGTCGGCTGTAGGAAGGGGGGGGCAGCTCCTGTTGCTGCATGTACCCCCAAATCTGCACACGGGGCAAGGCCAGGCTGCCAGGCTCTTCCCAGCTGTGGCTGGGCAGGGCTGCACTTGGAATGCACTGCAGCAGCAGCATGGAGAGTGGGGGCTATGGCAAATTTTGGGGTGGCTGCAGCCTCCGCTCCCAGTGCCGCCACCATGTGCCCCAAGCGCAGCCCGGCCCAGTCCCCAGCCAGGAAGATCTCCACACAGCCCTGGCCCCAGCCTGCAGCCCTCCCTGCCCCACGTGCAGATCTGGGGGCACCCCCCCATAACCACCCAAGGTGTGTGCAGTGGCAGGAGCCCCTCCCCCCTGCTCCCCGGATGGGCCGCAGCTCCATCTTGTGCCCCGCCCTGCCGGGCAGCACCTGCCCTAGCCCTACTCCATCCCCCACCCCAGAGGCCTCAAATCACCACCGCCCCTCCCTCAGCCACTTCCCTTCCCCCACAACAGCCTGCAGACATTCATCAGCCAGATCAGACAAAAAAGCCGATTGCCAACACTCTCAATTTTCCTCATATCAGTGCTGATCCGATATGGGACTGATGTATTGGTGCACCTATATTTTTTTAGTACATGACTTGGGTTCTTTTCTAGTTTCAAGATGGCAGCACCCATCCGTCTCAAAAGGAATACTTCTGGGGCAAGGGGAGAGACTTCCAGTCCCAAGATAACAACCAGGGGGTGGGGCACCCATCAAGGGGCAGGGCTGCCCTTCTGGCCCTCAACAGCTCACCAAAACTCATTAAGGCACCCTCCAGCCAAAATAATTGCCCACACCTGGGTTAGGAGGTTGAATACCACTATTATAGACTATTGATATTGCAATCAGTAAGGAATTAATCAGAGGAATTAAGTTTTAATCTAAAAGTTTTTATTTCCAGTTTTCTGAAACTCATATAGAATTCAGCCTTATAAAGCACAGTAAATATCACAGCAAGTTTGGATTTTTTTGAGAAGAGGCAATTGCTCTTCCACACTAGAAAACAGGCTCTTTGCTGACAACTGTTTTCAGCAACAGGTGCCCTGACTCAGTGTTGAGTTATTTACTAGTGTGAGGACAGCCATTTTAGCAACCTAAAGATTATAACTCAGAAACAGATTTTTTTCATGCTACCAGTACAGCTTAGCTTTGTCACCAATTCAGAGGTACCCAGCACTAAGCCATCAGCCAGCAATAAACTTTATTTCCCTTAGGACCATAAATTCATATTAATTCAAGTTTCTTAAACCAAACGCAAATGTTGATAGTTAAGTTATAAAAGACACAATCCAGACCCAATGCCAATCAATCAGACACACCACATGATTAATCTGACTGCAGAAAATGAGCAAAGAATGCTACTACAGGGGAACAAAAGATAAGTAGAGTGAAAACAGTATGGTGCAGTGAAGAGCTCCCTGCATTACAAATACAAACAAACGAAGCCAATCCAGGGATGATCTACTTGAAGTGGTCACAAGTAATCAAGAATAGCACTTAAGAGGTACAATCAGAAAGTACAGGTAACACCAAAAGGGCCAATCTCATCTGCACTACAAGTGCTTTACCAAGAGGTACAGTATGCTGTCCTACTATACCAAAGTTTTCTTAGGGAGCTTATATTGTAACAATGAATCTCTTTTACTGCATGGTTCATTCCACTCAGTACACCTCACCCATGGGAAAAACAAGTGGCAACAATATAAGTACAGATTTCCTAGTATTATTGTGTATGCATCAGGAGCTTTTACTAAGTCACAACAATCAGAATTGCACCTTACACACCCCTAATACACTGTAGCTACACCATCCACAGCATAAACAGCCTCACTCTTTTTTCGTTTAAGAAACCTATACCAGGAAGTTACTTTCATGCAACTCTCAAACAGGTCTCAGCATCTAAGGGTATGGCTAAACACTGTTCTCACCAAGGATGCATAAACCTGCTAATTTGCACACTGTCTCCACAGATAAGAGAGTCAGCATCAGACTTACATGCTGAGCATGCAATGAAAATATCAAATATATTCTGAAGTGTTACTATGTAATTTGTCCTTCCCATTTTGCAAACGTGGATGAGATGCGATTGTTTTCTTTTTTTTCCCCAGAATCAGCAGTTACTGAAACAACACTAAAACATTTTTATGGTAGAAAGGAGAAAAGGTTATGGGACCAAAAATATACCCCATGAACTTCTTATACCTGATTCAGTTTTTAAAAGGAAAGACCTAGTAAGAATTGAGGGCCATTCCCAACTTATTCTCAAATTCTAAGCACAAAGGAGAGAACAGGACCAGGCCGCTTGGGTTTGTTTATGTGGCTTTAAATTACATAACAAAAATTTAACCATTAGGGCAAGCTAAACACATAGCAGTTGTGACTATAAGTGGATACTGTGCATATTTATACCAGGCTTAGTTTTACCTTGCTTGTCAGATTTGCCCATTAATACTAGACATCAATATCAACAAGAAAAGGTTACCTGCATCCAGAGTCAAAATTAACCCTTTGAAATTGGTTTTCAAAGGTACTACAGAATAAGTTTTGTTAAAGCAGCTCTGGCACCAGTATGTCAATCTACATTACAAGCATTTCATAACTGAACTTCCTCCTATCTATCTGACGTTTTCTCTTCCAAAACTGAACTGTTCCTTTTTCTTCTTCCAAGCACTCATTGTTTGCTTTTGCGTCTATTCCTGGAAATGGGACACATCAAACACTATCTTTCAACAACCTCCCAATTAACATTCAAAGCATCCTCATTTTTCCTTCAAGTCACTGCACCCTATTTCACAATGCTCATGTATAAATGGATTTTTTGCACCCTTACTAGTAGTGGTGGGCATGCCATGGAGGGGCTGGAGGGAGGAAGATTTGTTTCCAGCCCCTCTAAATGCAAAGGAAACCTTCCAGAAACAAAAGGCGGCCTTGTCCACACTACGTTTAGTGCAGACAGAATTAGGTCTGCCAGCAGAGTTGGTCAAAGGTGCAAAGAGGCACAATACTGGACCTTAAAAGAAAAACAAAAAACAAAAAAACCCCTCAAAAACCTACTTTGCCAGCAAAATATCCTAGCCTGTTTTGCTCAGGAGAGAATAAACTATAAGATGTATCCATGCTAGGGGCATGTTACCAGTATTCTTGTCCTGGTATACTATCTGCAAAGTGCAGCAAGTGTGGACATAGTCCAAGTGCAAACAGATGCAATGTTGTCTTCCTAAATCTGCAGACAGCTCCAAGTGTCTGCTATTCATAAGTAGTTTTGCAAA